TTTGAACAAGTTATTTAAACTCTCTAAGCTTTCATTTTCTTATCCTTCAAACAGAAATTGAAATTCCTACATTGTGATTGTTAACAAAATAATGGACGGAAGTGTGGATGGCCATTGTCCCTATCCCACAGGACTGGTGCATGTAAATGATATGGAAATGCACCATCCAGCAATATCTGAAGCCCAGGTGGCACTTGGTGAAATATTAACCATGTGCTAACCTAACAACAACAAAAAAACCCTAATTAGCCCCATCCTTGTTCCTGCCTATCTCTTCTACAACAGGATTTATTTTGTAGATAGAACACCATTTTTAATTATGGGGGTGATTATTGCTAATTCTCTCTCCACACACACACATTCAAACACCTATCTAAATCTGATTTTAAAAGCTCCTATTTTACTGGGCTGTTTTTCATATTCCTTAGGTACTCTTAGCCTAAAATAGGTGCCACTTTACTGAATGCGAATATAAACCAAATTTTTCAGGAACACATCTGTTGTATAAACCAGCTCACAATAGACCAATTGTGAATGCATGCACAAAAACAATCAAATTAAGTATATTATTATAGGAAACCTTGGGAGCAAAATAATGAGACTTCTTTTTAGAGTTAAATATATGTATTTAAGCAAAATAGTGGACCTATGGTGAGTATGCAATGATAAAGACATATGCCAAATGATAGTGCAAATTATAATAGGCTTTTCTAGGTATGGTCATTAAGAGTCACTCGCTTTGAGATTGTCTGCTATTTCACAAATTCTACTCTATTCATCTACTCCTTTTAGTAATGATAGGATTATTTTGTTTTATAGTTTGTTTTTATCGTATAGCAGTGTATTCAGTATATTTAGATTCTATTGCATGTTATGTATTATTTTTCCTTCAAAATGTTCTTGAGAGAAAAAATTAGCAGAACCAGACAGACTGTTCTAGGACATCCCTTCCTTTAGAGACATGAGTCTCTCCGGCATTAAAAAAAAAAGATTGAATTCCAAATTGGTTAAATTGCTGCTTCTGTACAGTACAGTGACATGTTGTCTTGTTACAGTGGAACATGTGCTCTCATTTTGGACGAGCTGTTCTGTGAAAAAGTTTTATTTAGCCACAAAGCCAATCCCCGGATTTGTGGGTGTTACTTACCTCCTTTCTATGTTACCAGTTTTTTCATTATCATTATTGCTTCTGCTCTGTCAGCTTTAATACACTTTAGTAGCAACCCTTTAAAAAAATAAGATGTTTCTCAAAATAGACAGAACAGTTGGCTAGACAAAAGAGAGATACAGTATCAACAAAAAGTAGGTCTGTTGTTCATCTGTGTGTTGCTCCAGAACCACTTCTGAGACTAGATCTCACACATATGTAAATGAATAGGCATGGAGTGAGAATAGGATCTGGGTGTCCTGACATAAACTTTTATCCAATTTTGTTAAGGGAATCAAATGATATGAAAACTGATTTGATTCAGAGAATACTTACATGTTCCACTTTGTTCAAATTAAGACATTAAGCAAATGTATCATCTGGCTTTGTCTGCCTTTTCAAATGAGAAAACTCTGAATCTATAAGTAAATGAATATTTAAATTCAACTAAAAATCAACAGATGGATCCATCTGTATATTCACGGTCTGGTTGTATAGCTGATCAAGCAAAGAGGAAGCAGCAGTTTTACTCTGGGTATTTGTTGTTCTCTCTTTGCATCAACTAAAACAAAAATTAGGTCATCAATATTTACCCTCTGGGCAAAGTGATATTTTTCAGCTGCTCAGACTTCCCTGTAATCAGTGAGACTAATCAGTATGGAACAAAGGGACTAGCCCCTCTAAGTCACTTCTTTGTCAAGCAAAGATGGTGTGATACCTCTTTCAGAATGCAACTTGGGGGACTCCTGACAAACAGCCAGCCTATCAGAGAGTCATTCAACATCTGTTGTCTGTACTCAGCAATGCTTCAGTCAAATGCACAAATGCAGAAATCTCCATCCCAAACATGATAATAAATATAGATGTCATCCCTGCTTCCTGATTTTACCAGTCTTGACTCTTTTCCTACAGTGTGTTTAAATCCAATATAATATTTTAAAAACACATTTGATTTGCTTTTGTGATATCTCTTATTCTTGGCTTGTCTTTATTTCTAAACATTTTCTCCTAACAGACCATGTTTTACCAAATCGTATTTTATCACTTCTTGTCTCTCTCACTTAAAATTCTAGAATAGAGTTTTAAGCTGGATTCTTGGACCAGGAATGTTTGAAGAGCTGCAGGAAGCCATGGACCACCTGAAAATGTGAACAACATGACCTTGTGTGTGTCTTCATAGGCACCTTGTTCTAAGAAAAGAATCCATGTCTTTCTTCAGACTCACAAATGGAAGCATAACTCTACAAATTTCAAGAACTACTTCCTTTTGGGTTTTCTCCTTCCCCTATTTATTAGTTAGGAAATGTTGAATTACATCACATGCTATTCCTGACTTCTGCCAAGTAAATGTTCAACACTTTCCTTTTCCATTATAGTTCAGTGCTGGCCTCATATTTTCTCTAATCTTTTTGAATTTTGTGCCTTCTATGTCCAATTTAAGTAACAGAAGAAAGAGAGACACAAAGGGATATTATATCCTAAATCTCTGCCACTAAACTTGTTTGGCATTTTCTTCATGTGACATCTCACTTAGTGCCACTGCAACCCTACAAATTAGGCAGGAGACTTATTTTTTTTAATGAGAAAATTGAAGTTCGGAGAGTTAGTGTTTACCACAGTGTATAAATAGCAGAGTCCCGATTTAAATCTGTGTTTCAGTCTAGAGTTAATTCCTCCCATGAAGTCTTTCTAGGCAGGGTATGTAAGGTACTGCCGAATTAAGACCACGCCATGTATGGAATGGAAAGATTTATTAAGATCCAGACTGCATGGCTGCCCCGCCCCCAGGTCAGGGAGCAGCGACTTGGGTAAATTGGGTAGTGGACTTTATAGGAGGGGCCGAGCCATGGGGGAGGAAGAGAGCCTCTTGTCTCTGATTATTTGACCAGATGGAACAGGTCAGACATGCCTGGGGTCCTTCCGCCTGCCCCAAGAATGCCAGGGACCTAACAGGTTGAGTGGCCATAACTTCATAATGGCATGATCTTTTATAACAAACACATTTAAGTATTTTTCTATCATCAAAAATATTTTATTATACATTGTACACTAAATCTAATACAAATTTACAAATGCAAATGTGTTATATCTGCAATCAATGTTGTGATAGTATCTCATACCATTAAAAAGGTAAGAAGCATTAGTACATTTATTTATGCATTCACTTAATGAACTGACATGTACTAAATCCTACTATTACCAAATGCTTTGCTCAGTTTTAGAATATAGTGATTCTAAGCCTTTCATTCACAAGAGATTCTACTAAGGAACTTTTCAAGCATACCAACAGCTGGACATTCAGAATCAATGAATGGGAGGTGGAACCTGGGCAGTGTGTTTTAAAAAGCTTCCCCAGGTGCAGCCATTGTTAGAGAGTAGTGCTTTCTCAAAGTGTCCTCAGCATTAACAGCTAAGGAGCAGCAGCAGCACTCCTTAGGAAGTTGTTGCACAATTTCTCAGCCCTTTCTCCAGTTTCCTCACCCACTATGCCAGAAATGCCAGGCATAGGGTCTGTCAGTCTCTTCTTAGCAAGCCATCCATATGCTTCTGATGCAAGCTGAATGCTGGGAAACATGTCTCTAGAGACACAGGATCAATCAGGCAAGATACTCCCTACTAAGCCTTTCTCTTGGGTCTCAAGGAATTCTCAAATGCTTCAAATTTGCATTTTAATTACCTAGCAGAGTTCCAAACCTGTAACTATAATGTATTGTCATTGCTTTAAAAATGTAATGGTTTTCCATGTGTTCTTAGCAGCTATTAAATGAAGTATTTATAAGAAAGTGGTGGTTTGTGAGTAATATCCATTAACAAAAGTATTATGAACCTTAAATACATATTACAGGCAGAGAGGAAGAGAGAAAAGTATAAAATACAAAATTATAAAATATAAAATGGCAAATATTTCTAATGAAGGATTTTAAAGTGATCTTTGTGTTATGTTTTCATTCCAGATAATGCCATTTTTAATAATATTATACTTGATATCTTTCATCTTTATTAACATAGCTTTTTATAAATTTATGACAGTATAATTGACATATGATAAACGAGGCATATTTAAAGCTTTTACTTTATAAAAATTGGGTGTATATGGATATCAGCATTATAAAACAGATGTAACAGAACATACAGTTCTATCAGAGTATCTACTGTACAAGTTCCCATGCACACACCCTAAATGCAGTATGAAGTTTCAGAGTGGTTTCCTGATAAGGTAACATAAGCTGGAACTTATCAGCCCAAATTAATGAAATAGTCTAGGGTTCTACATAATAAAAAATAAAGCCCCTCTCACCTATTTGAAACCTTAGACTCTGTGCTTCTTGTTAGATTTCATCATGTAGGGCTTTTTAAATACCTACTTGGGGCTGGGGATGGAGCCCAGTTATAGAGTGCTTGCCTAGCATGTGCAAGTCTCTGGGTTCCATCCCCAGCATCACAAAAAAAAAAAAAATACCGCTTAGCCTCTTTGTTTCTTAAAATTTCAATCAAGATGAGTTTAATGGGGCTATATTCCACTCCCTCTACAATTGAGATCAGCAATCAACCCCTGTTTCAATTACTGCAATAGTTTCTTCCATTGAAATAACCACCAATTGCTTTGACCACCAATCCATTTGCAAATACCTGTTTCTCTGCTGTGTGTATAATAAAGAATAGCATGCATAAGAGTAATATTTTCATTTTCATAGAAATGAAATACGTCTTGCCTTTAATTTCCCTTTATCTTTCTTTTTCCCCCCAAGCAACTTATGATATGTCCCTAAATGCTCATTTATTGTTAGCCACATGTGATAATAATGGGAGTTTACTTTTTATTCTTAAATCTGCATTCTTGCCTCCATTATAGGATGGCTCCATGAGTTGGGAAAGAGACTGGAATCTCCATACTATGGCAACAATACCTTGGGGGGCCCATCGATCCGAAGTGCCTATATTGCTGCTCTGTACTTCACCCTTAGCAGTCTCACCAGTGTTGGGTTTGGGAATGTCTCTGCTAACACGGATGCAGAGAAGATCTTCTCAATCTGCACCATGTTGATTGGGGGTAAGAGAACTTCTTCCATACTGAGAAAAGGAGCATATGTCTGCCAAACTGTCACTGTGTTTGCTCTGTCCTCAAACACAGTAGAGCTAAATCGGTTAATATTGGAAGATTCTAAAAGCACTAATTAGGAAATCAGTGACAAACATTTTAATGTACATATAAATAAGCAATGAAAGCCTGTGATGTTAATGAGTTCCATCTTCTGAAGAGATGATTAAGCATCTGATGGTGCATTTTCAAAGGGCAAGCACTTTGTTTTCTTATCACAACTGTTTTACCTCTTATGATTTGGAGTTACCTGAGTCTAAATCGAAGGTATATGTTTGAAACTCCATTTTACAGTCATAAACAGGGACTATTTGATAAAAATTTTATGAATATTGATGTAGTAAAATATATATATCCATGATATTTCATTTGGTTAAAAGTAAAAATAAAAATAAAAACAGTGCAATAATAATTAATAAATAGCAGCTTTTATATTCTATTCTCCATGCTAAGTGATTTAATACAATTCCATAAGTAATTCTTAAGGACAAATCTGTGGGGTTGGCATTATTGTTATTACCTCATTTAACAAACAGACAATAAAGTACCATTTTCTCTGAGCTCCAAACTCACTCTTCTACACTCTGCTTGGAATTGTTGAGGCTTGACCCTCCTTCAGGGAAGGGAGGCCCCTTCAAATAGCAGCAGTTGCTTTCAGCTTTCATTCTCTTAAGGCAAATCCAGAACCAGCCTCATTGCGCCTCCTCTGAGTTCTTTGCATTCCTTGAGGGGCTGGGGGGAAAGGTAGGGAGGAGGATGCCACCAGGTTCAAAGTCAGAGCCCTGGATTCCCGAGGCTCACCACAGCTCTACCCTGAGGCACCTATGCCTGATGGCCCCACTTCTTCCCTTTGTGTACCCAGTTCTAGAGACGGCAGCCTTTTCTTGATTTAGTATGGCCATTTTACCTCTGGGCTCCCTTTTTCCCATTCAGCTCTCCAACACCACAGAAACAAGTTCCCTATAAAAATTCCCTCTGTTCAAATATTTAGTGTAAGTTCTCTTTTCTGAACCTTCTAACTGAAACAGAACTGATATTATTGCTATTTTCAAATGTCCTATCTAAAGCTTAAGGAATTAAAATAACCTTTCCCATGCTATACAACAGCTAAGTAAAAGAGTCAAAGTTTGAACCCAGTTCAGTACTTTTCTCTTAAAATACCTGGAGGGAAACTGCAGTGAATTGTGAGGCTGCTGTTGTGGAGTAGCAGTAGATGTGGGCATCGACCTGGGTTAAGTAAGCATTCTTCTTGGACCAGAATTCTATAAGATTTTATGCCCCTCACCATTCCTTCAAAACATTGCTTTATGGTGTCTGTTAATGGACTAAATCCCAGATATCACTTAGAGTGCTGAACCCTATCATAGGTAATGGCACCTATAGCTCCTTGCTTAGGAGTAATCTGCTGAACTTTAGCCATTTGTCATCTAGCACCTAGTGAAATCTGGGTATAAAACCAAACACTCCTCAAGGAGCTTACAAATGCTAAGTTCCAGATCAGTTAGGAAGTTCAGAAGTGAGAAAAGGATGGCCAGGATGAGGAGAATTTCTTGGACAGGCAGTGCTGTGCAGAGCTGCTGAAGTAGCATGCTGTGACTGTTGCAATTTTAACAGGCTCTTGGCTGATGCTGAGCAGTAAGACCCTAGAGAGCAGAGAATAGGAATTCTTATTTTCTGAAGAGCTACAATGTGCCAAAACCTGTGGTGGCTGATTCACATCCAGTATTATGACTTATATAATTTCTACTCTATTTGATGGCCCATCTCTCTGCCTTAACAAAATGACAGGTATTTTCACAAATAAACACACTCTACGCTCATGTTATATTTGTCCGTGTTTTTTACTACTCCTGGTGAAAATTTTGGGAAATGCTCAGATTCTCAAAGTTTAAGCCCAGTAATTTGGGAATTGAGCAATCTGTCAAATAATTGGCCTTATTCTCTATTGATCCACCTAGCATATTGGGAGTGGTGAGGGGTCCTCCATCAGAAAGTGTTAAGGCATAATCTGTTCTCTGCTCTTCATGAAGGTAAGAGCTATACTAGTCACAAGACCAAAAGATATGAGACATAATCTGGTAATGTCACTTTGTCAGATCTTTGTGAAAAATTTATTGAGCACATTTACTGGTATAAAATCATTGCTCATTTGTAAGTAGCATTGAAAAACTTTAGGTGATGAGGAACACTTAGAAAACTTGCTTTTGCAGGCCAAATGACATCATAGTGACTTGAATTTATTAACACTTTCTATATTTGTGTTTCTAGGGAACAGCTTTGTATTATTATGAAAATTACCCTAGGCCAGGAAAAATGATGTCTGTGTTTTAATATTTCCTAATTAACTAATTACTTGCATAACATTGGAAACTAATCATAAAAGCTCACAATATTGAGCAATTTGTTCATTTAATTCTCCTACCACTTTGAGATAGGGATCATTAATACTGCTATGTAAATACATAAGGGGCAAGACTCACTAAGCCCTGGTAAAGTTCTTATAAAATATCAATTTTTATTTACTTAAGTTTTAGAAATATATGCAAATAACTCATTTAAAAAGAAAATTTTAAAATATTAATATGGACTTAAATCTGGGGTATTTTATTGGGAATCTCCACCAAAGGCTGAAAAATTGCTAATGGAAGCTCTGCAATAGTTACTCCAAAAGGAAGAAGTAGCACTATTAAAGGAGGGGGGTACTGCCAAACCCCAAGTAATTATCTAAGGCAAAGGTACATGGAAGTTCAGTGAATATATATGGATAAAATGTGCTAAGTGAACAAATATTGGAAGTAGTATGAACTATTACCCCCTCTAATTTCCCCAAAAGTTGTACAGGTTTTGTCTTTTATATACTAAAATTCTATTTCAATATACTATATTGTTTATATATTAATATACTATATAAGCTTCCATGTGTAATTATGGAGTGTGAATACCATAGATATGGGGATAGCACTTAAAAACCATACAACAAAGAGATTAAGCAAAAATAATTTAAAATCTCATACCTAGACAAATCTATATGAACTTTGAAAAAACAAAGAAGTACTTCTAAAATCTTCACACAACCATCAGAATTAATAAGTTAATATATAGTAAGATTAATGGATTCAAGATCAGTGTGTACAATCAATTGTATCCATATGTGCTGGTGGCAAATAATTAGAAAATGAAATGTAAAAAAAAAGTTACAAAAGCATCAAATATGGAGAAATAAATCTAGCAAGAAATCTGCAATACTTTACATGGAAAACTACAAAATAGTAATGAGAAAATTTCCAAATGGTTTTAAATAATAATACTTACAATGGTAATGGTTGGTAGTGATGGAGTCAACATTATGATACCAGTTTTGCCCAAATTAATCTAAAGTTCAATGTAATCTCAATAAAAATCCCAGTAGATGTATATTTGTGTGCATATATATATGTGTGTTTGAAAACTGAGAAGCTGTTTGCAAAAATTAGTGGAAATTAGAGTTGAAACTAGTCAAAGCAAACATGAAAAGGAACAAAATCAAAATATTTGTCCTACAGGTATCAAGATGCATTATAAAGTTATAGCAGCCAAGAAAGTATGGTATTAGTTGAAGAACAGACCAATAAGCTAATGAAAGAGAAGAGTTCAGAAACAGGCCCATACATACATGGTTACTCATTTATAGCATGTGTGACTCTTCAGTGCAAAGTGGGAATGATAATACTTTCAGTAAATGTTGCTAAGTCAAATGTATATCCACATGTTAAGTAGCAATCTTGACCACTCTTAAAACTACATTAAAATTAGTTCCAGATGGATTTTGATCTAAGCATGACGGGAAAATAATAAGGCTTCTCAAAGATAATATAAGAAAATACTTTTGTGACTTTGGATTTGGCAAAGTTTCCTTAAATATGACACAAATGCCCTAGCTTATGGAAAGAGAATTATAAATTTAACTGCAGAGCTTCCTTTTATCAAAGACATTATTAAGAGCATGAAGAGGCAAGCCACAGGACAGGAGATGATATTCATAAACATTTATCTAGTAAAGGTTGATTATCTGTATATATAAAAAAGTTAGTGGGAACATGGCTTAAGTGGTAGAGCTCTTGCCTAGCTAGCACAAAGCTTTAAATTCAATTTCTGATATCTTTTTAAAAAAGAAAGAAGATGAAAGAAGAAAGAGAGAGAGAGAGAAAGAGAAAGAAAGAAAGAAAGAAAGAAAGAAAGAAAGAAAGAAAGAAAGAAAGAAAGAAAGAAAGAAAAAGAAGTAAAGAAAGAAAGACAAAGGGCTGGAACTGTGGCTCAAGTGGTAGAGCACCTGCCTTGCAAGATCCTGTGATCAAACCTCAGTACTGCCAAAAATGAGTGAATTAATGAATGGATGAATGACTGTATAAATAAATAAATAGCTATGTAATTCCATAGGAGAAAAAACCAAATCTCCACTAACGTGGACTTTAAAAAAAGCACTTCAAAAGTAGATTCTTCAATAAACGAATAAACAATAAATATACAAGAAGGTGTTCAACACACCTTCACAGACATGCAAACTAAAATCAAAATTAGATAACATTTTGCATTCATCAGAATGGTACATTTAAAAACACTGGGAACCCGAAGGCTATTGAACACTTTGACCTAATTCATACTGTTAATGACCACGTCGATTGAATTGATGCAATAATATCTCAACATTTACCATATCTGAGCTGAACATACCTCTACTCTATGACTGAACAGTTCCACTTCTGAGTTTATAAGCAATGGAAATGCACACATACAACCCCCCACACACATACACACACCACATATGAAAAGAGATGCCTGTTTTTGAGACTCTCAAACAGGAAATGTCCATTTTATGGAATAATCCCATGAATAGAAGAATGTCCATCAATAGGAGAATAATTAGTAAAATAATTATACAGAACTAGACAGGAATGAGAATGAATGGATTCCTA